AACTCAGGGCGCGTAGATCTGTAAAAATAATGACATTTAGGCCATGTCCACACGTACACGGGTATTTTTATAAACTGAGTTTTTCCTTCCGTTTTAAAAAAAATCTCCATCCACATGAAAACACAAACACATGCTATGAAGCACTGTCAAGAGCATGCCAAACCAACAGGTGGCGATATAATCTCAACCGTAAAGCCATGTTGGCCAATCAGAAGCCTGAAAAAGTCTCCAGTAGGCGGAGATAACAGCGCAGGCTCTGACATCACAAGCAAAAAACTCTGGTTTCGCTGTCTACACGATTAACACTGCAACCAGAGTTTTTGAAAATCTTCACCCTGACAGGCGTTTTCAAAAATGTTCGCTTTCAGTGACCTGGTGCTGCGTTTGCGTGTGGACGAACGGCGTAGAAAAAGCTGTGGTTTTAAAAATAACCGCGTTTGTGTGGACAGGGCCTAAATATTCGGTTCCTGTGAGAAACTGTTCCAGTGGGTGGAGTTTACGTGAATAGTCATTAGTTCCCCTGTTGTGGGCGTGTCCTTGAAACAACACGCAAACGAATGGAACTAAAAATATTATTGCACGCTCCTCAAATCGCTACTTGTTTAATGAATTATTTTGAACAGGTAATGAAGTTTCAATTGAAGCTTTAATTGTAACAGTGTCAAAACAATGCAGTTTGTGTAATATGATAAATCATCTGTAAGCTGTTTTGCTTGATTGATTACAGGCACACAGCAAAACAATAAGCGAATACTAACCTTGGGTAATATAGTTTCTTATTTTTTGATGTGTTTAGCCTTTTATACATTTCATTTGTGGGGCATTAATTGTTGTTTGAATAGTTTGATTAGCTCGTAGTTACAGGTGACTATTACTGCAGTGTGTTCACAATGCTTGAAACAAATATATAAAATCTTGTTTATTTTGTATATAGCCAGTGTTTCTGTTATCTACATAAGCTACATACACACTGAGAACATTTGTTCTTGTAGTTAAAATGTTAATATTGTAATCATTATAATTTGTAATTGATTATATAGGCTAATACAGTGCATAAACCTTAAAGCGTTGTTCTGATGCAGTCTTCTTGGACATAGTTCAGCAGCTACTCCAAGAATATTATTTTTACATTTGGATAAGAAATCATACGTCATCATCACCAATGTTATAATATGGCTTTGATTTGCTTTTGTGATGTTTCCACATATATTCATCATCATGTAAAGTCGCTGTCTGTTTCAGATTGGATGAGAGAGCTGAAGTCACTGGTACAGTAGTTGATCATTGTATGAACTGGACATACATGGAGGCTGTTCTCTTCGAGTGCCGAGGCCCTGTTTTAATAAATATCTCAGACAGACACCAGACACTCACTTAATTTTGCATTGCTTCATTCCACATGCATACTTTCACACAACTTTCCTTGTCTTTTCAATTTGAGTTATATTCATAAAGCAATTACTTCTGTACTTGTCAT